GTGTTTAGTATCTACTATATTTTTATTCTCACACATAACATATGGATAGTACTTGAATAGCACTCACAAACTAAAATTGTATAGCGTTAAGTTGGGGTATGAACTAAGCTTTGCTATATAACCACAAACTATTTTATATATTAATATATAAAATATATTAATACTAATTATTATTTGATTGTACTTACTTTTGTACGGTAGACTTTCCGAATGTTTTCCCACAATTTTCTAATACATCATTTACAGCAAATGGGCGATTCTTTTTAGACATAAAGTCAAGAATTATTTTTGACGCTTCCGTGTTTGACATCTTAAAAATGTAGATTAGAAGAAAAAAAATCACATAAATGTATAATCTTAATTTCAATATAACAGTAACAAATTGTAACAAATTGAAAAAATGAGTAATGAATAATGCATTAATACCAATTTTACTTGTTTAATCTTTTTTAGATATTTTTAATTGACCTACTTAGGTAATTCGCGAAACATTTTAAGATATAAATTTTGAGTTCAAAGTTTAAAAAACTATGTAAGATACAATCCCGAAAAGGATACAATAAACCCATAAACTTAAAAGACCTCACAACAATATTTTAGTTGAACACAGTAATACTATAGCAGATGTAGACAAACTTTTCCACACTTTCCACATTCACCTTTTTCAAAATAATGTTTCTTTTATTTACTAACAGAATTATTATAAAATTTTTTAATAATAATTATAATGATTATAATTTAGATCAGATTGTGTTCAGAGAAATCCTTATTGCTTGTACTCATATTATTGTGTAGGCTTTTAAGTTATAATATATATTCTGTTTTTATACAATATTGTATTAAAAAGAATATATTTTTATATACATTTAAAAAAATACAAGCCTTACTTATCAGTTTTATTTAAAACTATTTAATGCAAATAAAACATTTCTAATCGCAATAACAACTTTTTAATTATTTATAGAATAATTCGCAAAGGTGTAACAAATTAGCAAAAATAATTAAAATGTCAATTAAAATACACTACACTAACTGTGCTACTTAACTGTGCTAATATCTATCGCATAGATAATACAACTTTAGCCGGAGTAAGAGTAATAAAACCCGTAAATCTTAGCAGGCCTATCTGGTCTTTTGTAAAGAAACAGCACTTGTTTAATTCTAAATTGTTACAAAAAATTAAACGTAAATAAATAAAATAAAAATTAGAATATCAATTATGCACTGCTAGAAAAACTAGTAATGCTAATTTAATTTCTCAAACTGTAGACCTTTCAGTAAACCGCTTAGGCGGACTTGTGGTAAGTCCCAGTTCAACGCATTATATATTCTCTGCATGTACAAAGCATTTATTTCACTTTTATACTTAAGAAATAAAAGTAAATACTTTATTCAGATATAATTAAAATGTGATTATTATGCAATTGAAATAAATTTATTTTGTACTAAATAAATAAATGTAAATAGTAAAAAACAAAAAACAAAATATAAAAAAATCAAACTTTAATATAATGAAAATTTTACTTATTTTTCAAGAATCGTTTCTGTATAACTAGGACGTTTTCATATAAAAAAATAATTGTTATTGTAATTATAATAATAACTGAAATAGTAATATCTTAAGAAATAATATCTTAAATCATAAATATCAAAAATAAAACAATTTTATTGAGGTTAACACGATTCTAATCATAATAAATACCATTTAACCTATTAAATGACGGATTGTAAAAGTCCACTAACAAACAGTTTAGTGAATTTCTATAAAGAGATTGTAAATTTATATCCTACGCTTGTCCATAATGCTGTTAGTTCAAATTATAGAGGTATAAGCTATTATAACATAACAAACGATATCATAATTGAAGGACAAAATGTTCACTCAAAACAAGATAAAACATATATATATATTTTTTTTTGTTAAAAAAAGCTTCAAATTTGGCAGCACTCGAGTTCAATTCCTGGTACTTGCAGTCTTAAAAAATTAGATACGAATAATTAAATACAAGAATTATTTCCAAGACCACTGATGATGGGTATTTGGTAATACTCGAAACAGCTGTATGGTCAGTCAAAAATTCAATTATTTAAAATAATATAAAATTAATTTTTGTTGTTGTAGTTCACTACTTTTCGAGAAACCTCTTTATCAAAAAAAAATTGAATTCATTCAATGTCTTTAGCTTTCCCTAATACATAAAAAGACAATCTATGTACGAAAATTTATATTTCAATAACAAATATAAATTTAATGTTCTTTAAACATTAAAAAATTTCGATTAAATTTAAGAATATGACAATTTTATTCAGCAATGTGAACTGCTAAAATAAAGATGTAAAATCGCTAAATTTTATTATCACCAAAAAAACAAAGAAAAACGATTGTATACATCATAACAATATCAGTTGTATTAAATCTATAATTACAATCAAAATTGTTTAAAATCAAACAGTCATAGCAAGTACTTTAAAAATAATGCTTCTACTGTTTCTACATTAATATTAAATATTGCAGTTTTTTAAATTTTTAAATTATTTCTTAATTGCATTTATTACCATTTATTACCATTTAAAAACTTAATGATGTGATTTATTTATAATATCGAACGGTAATTACACAAATCACCACTTGAAAAAATAAAACGTGATAAGCAAGCCCTCATAAAATTCCTTTCTATTTCAAATGTCAACGAAATTAATTGGTAACATGAACATCATCTTCATAGGCCAACATCTTATTTTATTTACCAGTAAATCGTGAAATATAATGTTTGAAATGTATTTTATTATTGCACATATTACACTTTTCATGAAATATCAACCAACAAATTGAATGCAAGTGCATTACGTATTTACGTGATACGTGATATTTTTACACTGCAAAAAATATTTTCTTGCATGAAAATTGCGTTAATAATTTTATTTTATTTTTTTGTTTATAGGGCAGAGATGCTACACCATATCTGGAAAGGAATCGTGTTGGACGTGATGCTATTGATTCAGCAGCAGCCTTAACGGATATGGGTAAATATTTGTTCCGTGAGAGACGTTTACCAGTTTACGATATTGCTGTGGCAATAACAAAGTAAGTTATTAGTTTAAATATTGTTTTTCATATTTATTATACACAAATAATTTAATTTAAACAAATGAATTTATTATTTTAACAAATACACTGCAAAAATCTCTTAAGTTTAATTTAGCTCTTAAATTTTAAATTGAATGATATATTTCTTGTTCATTAGTTATCAATTAATAATATGGTAGATATATGTACTGCAGTTGTTATAATTATTTTATTCCTCTTACGAAATAGCAGAGAATAGTAAAAATATTTTAAAAGTGAAAAGTACAACCTATATATTTTAAATGAATTCATTTATATTATAACCATTTCTTGTTTATCTATACCTTCCTTCGCCACAACATTTTTGATGATGTTAATACCTTTCCAGAGTTGAAGCATTTGATGATACCTTAGAGTTATTTTAGAAACCTAATTATCAAAACCGCTTCATATAGCGATTATATCGGGTCTCGTGAGATATTTTTTGCGAAACGATTTCCTCAGCCAATATTTTTGACTGCTTTTTTTTTAGGAAATCTAAATTGATAATCTGTTACTTTAATAAATTAGATTGAATTAGGTTATTGCGACGATTCATATAAATTCAAAAACTCTAAAACATTCTAAATCTTTAATAAATAAACCTATTCTTCAATGGGATCTCTTCTAACTATTTAAGATGTAAGAAAAAGAGATCAAATATTGTCGTCAGATAATAAGTACTTATAATGACAGCTTTATTTGTTTATGATTTTGCTTATCCAAGAGAATTAAATATTTTCTAAGAAAAATAAAGTATAAAATACAACATATGGGTAAATAAGATTATACCCTTAACATCTGAACCAAAAGCAAAACTTAAAACTTCTTAACTAGAAATTATCCCCTTTTACAGTTGTAGCTTTTTTCTATCAAATATTTTTATAATTATAGAATAGCTTTATTTGCAGTGTATTTTAACTACATATTTATAAATATAATAAGAGATTTACTGTGTTACGCTCTTGAATTATGTATAATACTTCTAATTTTACTTTATAATTACTATAAAACATTTCCGAACATATCTATAACTTCTCTTTCACTTTTAATATATATAAAAATTATTTCGATATATTATAAAATGCATATATAAACAGATACGATATGTGTCGAAGGCGTAAAGGCGGTCGTTGCACAAAAGGCACAGCGGGTAAAAATTTTATTTTCGCTATATAATGTATTATTTACTTTATATATACAAAGGCACACATCAATACATAAAACAGTTTTTTTTATATATTGGGTTTAATTAAAAACAAAACACTGGTAATACACAAACACACTCATACATGTTATGCACAATGTAATATTGTACTTCAAAAAATACAAAACAAAATATGTTTATTAAAATATAGGTAATATTAATTAGTTAAATAAAATAAATAAAATGGTTTAATAAAATAGTTGCTGAGTTCATACACACACTTGCTTTCAAATAATTATTATAAGTTTTTTAAAATCGAAAATGTTTTTTAATTGGGTATGATTGTTTTTATAAATAAATTAAATGAGAATTATAATTATTTGTAATTTGTCATAAAACTACTTAAATTACAAGGTTATTGCTAGTTGGTGACAATTTAAAAGCTTAAAGAAATTAATGCTTCTGGGTTTAGTAGACGAATTTTTAATTTAATATAATCATATTATATTAATAACCTTTAAAAAAGGAATAAATATAAAAATACTAATATAATAGAACCTGAAATTATACATACATTATATGTACTATCTATAAATATTGTAGATCACAATGGATCTCATATATCGTAGTCCATGCTAATAATAAACTATAGATGGAACTCCTTAATTAAACGATAAAGAATTAAGTTAGTTATTTCATAACTTTTTATGTATATTTATTAAATGAAATTTTTTATTAACAATTTATGTTAAATTATTTTATTTGAGTTTACATCTCTATAAATATTTTGTTTGTAGAAAAAATAGTAGTGTGAATAGAAAAACGATTCAAATTTGAAAAACCATTTTACATTGACCACCGCGAAGTGCTAGAACCAAATGTAACACTGAACCGCCTTGTACTTTATAATCAGCAGCCGTTTTATCATCGTTCATTTGTTTTCCAGAGAAAATTAAACGTTGCTGTTGCGGTGGTATTCCCTCCTTCTCCTCAACACGCTCCTTAATACGGTCAACTTTGTCTGTGGGTTCAATGTCAATTTCAATTTCTTTACCAGTAAGTGTTTTCACCTTAATCAACATCTTGAAAAGTTTGACAGCAAATCGGCTTTAAAAGAAATAGAGCAAAAATTATTAATTGAAAAATTAATCACTAATTTCTATATATTATTGAAAAGTTTTATGTACTATGTATTGATTAATAACTATAATAGCAATAAACACATGAAACTACAAATTGAAAGTAAAAATTAAGTCCACTTAATTATTATTTTAGTTATTTAAAACAAAGCAAGTACATATATTTAAAAACAAATTAAATTAAAATGTTTTAATTATTGAAAAAAATTATTAAAACAAATATCGACTTAATTTTCAATTAAAAAATAAATAATTCAAAAGAATGCCGATTATTTATTGAAAGAATAGACAAAGTTGACGAACTAAGAATTCATAAATTAGAAATAATTATTTAAAACTATTTTTATATAAATTATACACTGTTCAATAAATTATAGTGTGTATGCGAATCAAAAAACGGCGTTTCTGTTAATTTTATTTTAGAAGAAAGGGTTATTACTATTAGTAAAAAATAAAAGACTTATAGTATGTTCTAACTGGTTTTCACATATATTATTTTAAACAGACTTTATTTCTCATTTAGAAAAATCTGCGTTAAACCTGATCATTTCGATTTAGTATTCTTTCTTTAATACATAATTTTTCTTATTAAAGTATGTTTCTATACACAAACCGATTTATTCTACATGCAAACGATGTAGAAGATAAATTAAGTATTTTGAATCATCAAATTCAAGCAAAGTCCTACGTTTCATTTGTTAGAAATCTAGTATTATGATTCGACTGCAAAAACTGTTCTGCGTTTATGATAATTTATATATAATAAACATCATATACGTATA